CCAACATGGCGTCCTCAAGAACAGGCCATATCCAGCTGTGGAGGAATCATGGTGGAGAATGCTGTCTGCACCTAGAGGAGGAGCCGTGGAGTCTGGAGGCAGACCAGGGCGTATCATTTGCTCTCTCTCTTATTCTTTTGTTTGTTTGTTTCCTCTTTCTCGTGGTTTCTCCCATTGGTTCGAATTCTTCATTGCAACATGACTAATGTGAAATAGGAGAATGCTGTCTGCACCTAGAGGAGGAGCCGTGGAGTCTGGAGGCAGACCAGGGCGTATCATTTGCTCTCTCTCTTATTCTTTTGTTTGTTTGTTTCCTCTTTCTCGTGGTTTCTCCCATTGGTTCGAATTCTTCATTGCAACATGACTAATGTGAAATAGGTTCTATATGAATGTATGTGTAGATCCTATATCAGATGGCATGCCTTTTTGGGGTGGGGGGAAGGGAAAGATGGGGAGAAAGTTTGGAACTCAAGATCTTATGGAGGTGAATGTTGAAAACTAAAAACATATAAATTAAAAAAAAAAGAATAGGCCACATCACAACAGCCTGGTTTTCTTTTTTAACAGTTACTAAACTAGAAGAATTAGGGAAATAATACATCGTTTCCTTCAGTCTCATTTGATTTCTAAGTTTTTGCCTATTCCGCCATATGCCAATTTAAGGGGAGCCATTTAATTCCTGGTTCTTTGCCACTACAACAATCGTTGCTGTGAATATTACTGTGCACGGAGGACCTTTTCCTCCTCCTGAAGGGTTAGCAGGGGTTTTGCTTTGGGCAGAGATGCAAACTGCTCAAAAACGGCTTTTTCAAACCACGTCATGGCTCCACCAGAGATGCCTTAATGGCCTGGCACTTTCTTCTGGAAGCTCCTCCAACATCTGTTTGTCATTCTTCTTCTTCTTTTTTTTTTTTGGCCAAACTCTTGGGCGTGAGGTAGAATCTTAAGGGTTACCTCAATTTTTTTCCCCCAATATGGCTACAGGTAGATTAGATTTTTGTCTCTGAAAGCTACCCATTCACATACTTTAATCATCTATCAATTGGGAAATAGGTTCTTATTCTCAAAGACTTTGAATCAGTTCCCTACATATCTTGTAGATGAGCCCTTCCTCAGAGCAAGCTTGCTGCCAGCGGTTTCTCCCAGTTATCTGTTACTTCTGATCTCAGCTTTGCTGGATCTGCTTGTGCCAAACTTCCTGTCTTCTGTGATCCTCTTTCCATCTAGCTTTCCAGTGACACATGGCCCAAGGTGCTGATCTAAACCTCCTTTCTGCCAGATAGCTTTCCAGTTTTTCCATGTTTTTTCTCGAGTTTCTTGTGCTTCAGTATCGTGTCCACTCATCAACTTGCCCCACTGTTGTCTAGGGTGACTGCCTCGTGGCCCGGTGTAGAAATCTGGCCTGGCCAGTCCCCCTTCCTCTCCACTTTTTCATCACTGCCTCTGAGATCCTGCATCTTTAGTCTTCCAGATGAACTTATTTTTCTCATTCTAAAAAATAACCCTTTGCTAGTCTGACTGGCATGGCACCGAATAAGTAAATCAACTGAGGTAGTATTTTATTTCTGACATGCTGGTTTGGCTGACCCATGACTAATTAATATTGCCGCAATTATTTGGGCCTGTCTTTATTTCAGTAAAGCCTTCTGTAATTTTATTTGAACAGCTTCAAAGTGTATTCTGGTAAATCGATTTCCAGGTATTTTAGATATCCTATAGCTATATTAAATGGAATTTTTAAAAGAAAGAAATGTGAAGTACTTAAGTTAATATTTCAATCAAACTTTTTGGCTGCCTTTCTAGGGTCCTCTACACCACAGGTGCAAAACGTGATGTTGCTCATACTTACACCTCAATGTCTTTATCTTGTTTGACTGCCAACGCTAATTCTGGCACTATGATGGGAAGCGGAGACGAAGGATATTCTTGCTTTTCCTTCGATTTCACGGGAAAGCGATGCGGTTGATGCCCCACTGCCTGTGTTTGCAGTGGGTTCAGATATGTAACTGTTTTTTGTCCCTGCAGCTTGTCCTTCATCAGGGGTGAGGTCCTGACTTGCGAGTGAACTGGATTTAAGTGAGGCAGGCTTGTGCAAAGGCATCGGCCTCACTCTCTCCTCCAGAGTCACTGCAGTCCAGGGCTAATACCTGGTCAGGACAACTCGCAATGGCCCTGACGCAGGGGAGACCTTGGACTTTTTAAGCTGAGGTCTCTCCCAGGTCTCAGCTTGTCTGAGGTAAGAACTGAGGCAAATAACGGTATTTAACAGCTTAAATAAAGGTCCCTTTATTCCTGTTTTTCAGTGTCTGGTTTTATTCTTCCTAAACACAAATGGGTACGGTGTTTCGTCAAACGCCTTTACTGCCTCTACTTCAGTTTTGTTATCGTTATTAATATGGTCAATTGTGTTTATAATTTTCTTAATATTAAGGCAACCCAGAATTCCTAGCCTAGTGTACAATCTTTGTGATAGATGCTGCAGACCTGTTAATATTTTATGTAAAGTTTTTGCATCATTGTTCACTCAGGGGATTAGTCCACAATTTTCTTTCTTCATTTTGGCTCTCCCTGACTTAGGTACCAAGAACATATTTATGTCACAGAACAAATTTGATAAAATAACTTCTTTTGCTATTTCACTTGCAGTTTATGCATGGGATGAACTGTGCTCTGATTTCCTGACAGAATTTGTTTTGAGTGAAATGATGCAATCAAAGCATTTTGGAATTATTCAAATAGTCACTAAAAGGTCTGTATCCTTTGAATCAGAGACTCCACTGCTAGGCCTAAACCCTAAGGAAGCTGGTGATGAGAATGAAGTTCCCACGTACACCAAAAGTGATAGCAGCACTTTCTCTGAAAGCTAAGAATTGAAAAAAAAATTGAGCATCCACTGGGGAATGGCTAACAAATTTTGGTCTGTGAATACAATGGAAGATTCCTATAGGAAACGAGAAGCCTGGAAAGACCTCCATGAACTGATGTAGAGGCAAGTCAGTAAAGCCAAGAAAACACTAGCCACAGTAACACGGAAAGAGCTGCCACGCATCCCAAATCAAGGGTCAGCATAAGGAAACACTACCAATCGAGCAGCCCCCTTCTCCACAGCTATCAACACACTGGATGTGTTTTTGGACAGACTCACTCTATTCATTAGTTATGCTGATTTTTTTCCCCCTCTAAAGATGAATCTTTTTCATCTGGGTCAGGTCTCTGGGAAGAAGAGGAGAGGGATACTTGTAATAACTATGGTGAGGCCAAATACATGTATAAATTAAAACCTTTTTTTAAAAAAAGAATTTGTTTATAAAGCCATCTGGTCCTTTGGAAGGTCATTCAGGGGTTGTCCAATTCCTTTTTTGGGAATAAATAGGTTATTTAAATCATCTATTCCTTGTTCTGTTCACTTGAGTGTTTTATGCTTTTATAAATATTCATTCATTCCATTAAAATTTTCAGTGTCATTGGCTATAAACTGAGCAAAACAGTTACTAATACAGACCAGTGGTTTATATATCTTACTTAAAAGGAAAAAACCCCAGCGTCCTGTTTTCCTTGTCTCATTGCTTGATCAGAGTTCAGAGCTCTATGGTTTTCCCTGGGGACTGCTGGGGCTTGCAGCCCTCAAATTCTGGCAGATTCTCTGGCTGTCGCTTACTCTGATTGAATTCTCTAGGAGGATTTGTTCTCAGGCCCATCAGTTCAGTTTACCTAACTTTTGGCAAAGTATTTGATGGTAGAGATCTGGTGGAGCACCCCAAGGGGCTGTGCTGCCTCCTATTCCACTGGGTAACTTTTACCGCAGATTTGGCTCGCTCCGGACACAAACCCACCTCTTGGTAACTTGCTCAGATCACTCCCAGTTCTGTCTTCTGGGGCCAAACCCCACCTGTCTAGTTCCTTCTCCATATGGTGACCTTCCATGTCCTGGAGGGCTGTTTCTTTCCTCCAGATGAACCATCGCTGGCTCCTTCAACTGATTCTCAGATGGCCTGGGCTCAAAGCCTCCCCAATTCCCAATGCCGTCTGGATTTCAGAAAGGGAACTGATGAACACCACCATAGGGGGAGTTACAAGTCACCAAGCACTGGGCATTGGACATTTCCTTGGATCATTATGGCAACCTTGGGAGATAGGGTTCAATGATCATCCCCATTTGACAGATGAGGACACTGAGGCTCAGACCCATGGTCTTATTACTGCTAAGTCTTTGAGGTGGGATTTGAACTCAGGCCTCTTCAACTCCAGGAACAATGTTCTCATCCACCTGACCCTGCAGCTCCCAAGTCCAACAACAGGGGATATTAACAGGAGGCAAGTGACAAAAGATGAAAATGGCTTCATTGGTGGGGTGGGGGTGTCAACAGCAGAGAGGTACAGAGACCTGACCCCACCTACCCCCAGGCTTCCCCGTACAGCATGTTTAACTTACACCTCAGGCTCTCAAGTCCAAGACTGAAGGAAAGGGTCACTGAGACCCACTGCTTTAACAGAAAAGGAAACTGAAGCCCTGGGAAAGAAGCTCTTGTCAGGGTCACCTGCACCTAAGTGTCCCTCCTGGGACCTAGTCTGCAGGACACATATTTTGTTGACAAAAGGGCTGTACAATAGCTGATGACGATCACCTGGAGCAACATCTGTTCCCGTGGTGATGCTCAGCAGCCAAGGGGCCCCACCCTAAAAGGCCACCTGGTGGGGAACTGACAGATGAAGCTGGGCTGGCCACCTGTCTGCAGACCCGATGGAGACAAAGGCGAAGCCGGGCCAGTCCTCTGCCCCAGAGACAAAGCCGGGCCAGTCCTCTGATGAAGTCAGGCCGGTCCTCTGCCCTAAAGAGGAAGGCAGGCTGGTCTTGCCAGCCGGTACACAGCAGAACAGAAGTTTCTGTTTGGGCTTTGGTGCCAACTCCTGGAGCCTTTGAGAACTCACAGATCCTAGAACAGGAAGATTACCAACTAAATGGGGGAAAACACCCTCTTAGGGTTTAAAGACACACTTACCCTGAAAAAGTGAAGCTATGAGCTGCTACCCAAAGGTCACTCGAAAGCAGTCTCTTGGCTTTTCCTCACACAGCGGGCTACTTTCCTCTTGAATTCTCCATTCCGGTCTTCCCTCCATTCTTTCTGCAGGCGGACAAACAAAGTGCCAAGATGATTAGAAGACACTTCCTCTCAATCTTAACTATGTTTCAAACACCTCCAGCAGGCCTGCCTTGGTGGCTTCCACACACTTGCAATTTTAAATGTAGAAAGACAGAATGTGAGAGAAAGCAACAAAAACTGGGCAGGAAGAATTGCACCAGGTGCCGCAAGGAAAGAAATCTGACGCCCTCCCAAGGTTGGCTGGGCATGTGGAGCAGGGATTCAATGCAAATGGAGGTAAGGGGAAGAGCAGAAGAGGTCATGTAAGAAATTGTTCTATCACCTTTACATATCTCTGCCCTCATCCCCCCTAAAGGGGGGGGGGGCAGCTAGGTGGCGCAGTGGATAGAGCACCTGCCTTGGATTCAGGAGGACCTGAGTTCAAATCTGGCCCCAGACACATAACACTCACTAGCTGTGTGACTCTAGGCAAGTCACTTAACCCCAACTGCCTCACCAAAACCAAAACAAAACGAGAGAAATAGAGAGAGTCCTCATAATAAAAGAAAAAAGAGGGGAGAACAGTTCAGCAAAACTCGTGACACTTCCCTCAAGTCTGATGGTGTATGCACAGATCCACACCCATAGCTCCCCCCCCCTTCACAAAGAAGGGCTTAGCAATGCACGCTCATTTGGAATCCCTCCTATTTTCAACCAACCAACCAAGAGGCAATTATTATGCACCTCCCTTGGGCAAGCACTGGGAATGGGGCCCCAGTGGCAGCAGGGCATGGAGGGCTGAGAAAAGAAACCATAGCTCAAAGTCCACCTCTGATCCCCAGAGCCTAGGAACACAGAGAAATGGCAAGGGACCTTCGAGCCATTGAGGCCAACATCTTCAATTTGCAGATGAGGAAACGGAGGCACTAAGAGGTTGAGTGCTGTAAGGGCAAATCCTGAAAGTCTGAGAAGTGGTCAGTGGGGGCAGGGTAGGGCAGGTACATAGCCTTTGTGGGGGGCCGGAAGCCCCTCTAGCTGGGCAGTCACTTGGAAATCAATCAACAAACACTTAGCACAAAGAAAGAAGCATCCTCTGCTCCCAATAGCCAGCATGCAAGAGACACCTGAGAGTATAAAGGACAGACCCAGGAAGGTCCAGAGCTGCCCAGGCCCCCGGTCCTGTCCACTGGACCATGCACATTCCTGTGCCTATTCTTCAAGCTAGTCCCCTCTGCTGTTGTGGCCCTGGGCAGGAAGCTGCCCAAGGTGTCGCCATCCCTCCCTTGGGGCATCAGAACCGCACTGGAGCACTACAACTCCTCTACTGCCATCTCCTGTGGTGGTTGTCTGGGTACAGCCTGAACAGAATCTCCTTTACACAGTCGCAAAGAGCCATCTCCCCTCCCTGCCCCAACTGCTTCTTCATCTTCAAGGCTGCTTCTCATCGGAGATGGCCTCCAAGCTTGTCCCCTCTGGTTTACTTTCCTCTGAACACAGTTTGGACGGTCTACACTCTCTCTCTAAAACGCCATGCTCACAACAAAGCTCTGCTCCAGACTCCAGCAGCGAGGAGAGCAGCGCCTCACACGGCACACCAACATCTGGCGCTCACCAGGAAGCCTGTCTCCCTCCCCACCCGGCACTGCTCAGCATGGGTCCTACAAGGGAGTTAGGGTAAGCAGTTTCTGCCCTGTCCAGTGGGCAGCAGGAGCCCATAAAAGCACAGCAACACGGAATGGCACCTTAGCCTGAATATTCTAATGAGGAACGTGGGAAAGACACCAAGGAAGGCACCGCCCACACCCTAAGGCCCCCGAGGCTCCTCTGTCCACCCTGCAGCTGAACCTGACTGACTGTACTGTGCTATCAAGCACAGCACGCCTGCACCCTGAGCTGCCCTGGGCAGGTCACAGCTCCCCTCCGTTTCCTCAACTGTAAAGTGGGGATCATAATCGCATCTACCTGCCAGGGTCCTCGTGAGGATCAAGCGAGAGACTATTTGTAGAGTGTTTCGTTAGCACAGTGCCTGGCACACAGCAGGCACTTAATCAATGCTTGTTCCTCTCCCCTTCCCCAAATGCTTTTGCATTCATCCACTCATTTATTCATTCGTACCACCTATCTCAAAAATCTTTCAACACTTGTCCCCTGCAAACCTCCCCACCCCACCCCATTTCCTGGCCAGGAACCTGGTGACTATCGGTTGCGCTCAGGATAAATGACAACTCTTCTTGGGATCTCCAAAAGGCCACAAGGCCTGCAACTGGCCGCAAGAACACCACGCCCCTTGGGGCTCTGAGGCCCTGACAGATTTGCTGAGAGCCCAGAAGGGAGAGAGCAGAAAGATGAAGGAATCAATGAGGAGGTAGAGGAGCAGAAGAGCCTAGTGGCCTCTATAAAAGGCCTTTCCTTCAAGTGAAGAGGTCTTCACCTTTTCCCTTGGCAGTCAGTCTGGGGAAGTTGACTGACCCCTTCTTAAGAAGTGTGTTGTTAACAGAATGAAATAAAAAAAGGCACAGCATTGTAAAGGAAACAAATTACACTGAAAATAGTTACCACAATCTATTTTTTAAAAAAGAACCCAAAGCCAATATCACAGGTGCCAGGTTGGATATAAAAGACTTCTATTGACCCTGTAATTCTCTCCATCTAGGCCTCCTCCCACTTTTCAGATAGACCAAGAGAGGGTCTGAGAAGGAAGCAGACTTGGGCTGCACTGTGAAGGTGAAGGATTTGGGTACCTCCTCCTGGAAATTCTCTTGTGTAGGAGAATGAGCCTGTGTGCCAGCCCAGTAGGGCAAGCTAAACAACACCAGCCGTCAGCTTAGCTCAGGCTGCCTGGGTCAGAGGTTAGGCTCAGGAAAAATGATACAATGCCTACTTGACTCCTGTTACCCATCAAACAGCTTCTAGAGAGTGATTTCTGAGCCAAGGCAAGGGGTCTTGAAAACCTCCCCTCACATACGGCTCTCAACTGGGAATCTGGACTATTTCAAATGGCTGAAAAGAGCCTGGCCATCCGCGCCAGGGTTTGTCTCTTGTGACACGCTCATAAATGCTGCTCTGGATAAAAGGAACCACTGTCAGTGAAGAACAGATGCAGGTTCTGGAGAGGCTGAGGAAGCTGGCCAGATCAGAGCAGATCCCACAGAGTTCACTGTGGTGGAGGTGATGCCCAGAAACGCGCCACTCCTGGTATTCATTGGCAGAAATCCCCTCTTCCCAGGGAGTTCAAGAATTCACATTCCACAAACGACATCAACTAGATGAACAATTAGTTTGCTCTCTTGAATAATGGAATGCCTCACCAACAATGTCCTGCGTAATGTTTCCCACTATCTTTTTTGTACATTAGACCTGATCCAAAGGGACTGGATCTGGTGGGTGGAGGTAACCAATAATCACTAGGATGCTTTCAATAGCAAGGTAGAGACAGCCCTCCCTGCACATGGAGTCAGGGAAGCTCTCCTCCACCCACTCCAGTGAGCCTGGCCTCCACCCAAGGCAGGCTGCATGACTAGATGAGAGATTGGGGGGGGGGCGCGAGCTACTTTGGCTGGGATGCAGAGGCCTCGGCCACTGGGGGCACCCATGCCAAGTGGGTGCAGACAAGAGCGGTCACTCCAAGACTCACCACCCACACAGGAACAACAAGGTGGCTGATGAGCCCCTAGGACCACGCGTGCACACCAGGGGTGTGTCAAGAGCCAGTACCATCGACACAAGCCGCTCAGGGGGCCCTGTTCTCCTGGGCACCCTGCACATCCAATTCACATCAATCCGGAAGTGTCACACGAAGCACCGTCTATGCACCAGGCACAGGGGAGGCCTGGGGGAATCCAAGGACAAATGGACCGTCCACCCTCACATCTGGCAGGGGAGACTGCAGAGACAGCATCAAGACTGAACTAACAGACACAGACAGATACCAAGGGCATCCAAGCTAAACCGGGGGAGTGGGCCTGAACTGCTTCTTCCCCAAAGGAGAGAAGAACAAAACTGTCCCAAGAGGCAGCCAGCCACAATGGGGTCAAGGCTCAGGCAGGCCTGGGGTCAAGTCCTCCCAACAACACTGCAGGACCCTGCCATCTGGCACAGCAAGGGCCCAACTGTACTAGGGGAAGATCTGGGGCAAATGGGGAGCTCAGGGCTGGCTCCCCCAACAGAAGAGGGCATGCAGGGCAGAGACTAGAGGCAAGCTAGAGCCAGGACCCAAGGGCCTTGAAAAGCCTGGCAAGTCTGCACTCAAGCCAAGAGGAAGGAGGGTGTCACAGCACATTCCTGAGCAGGAGAGAAGGGGGGATGCTTGCGTGGAAGCTGGGGGGGTGATGGAATGAGAAGACAGATGGGAGACATTCTGCAGAGGAGGGGGGCAGAGGCTAGAACCACCCATGGTCACAAGCACTCCAGAGCCTGCCTGGCAGTGTTGATGAGATCACCGAGGGCAGGACGGGAGAGTGAGTAGGCCTAGCTGGGACAGAGCCCCAGAGGCGTGCATACACCCCGAGGATGGCCATGATGAGGGTGAGGGTGTGCTAAAGCAGACCCAGGAACAGAGGAAGAGGAGGGTGGACAGCAGAGTTCAACGCTGCAGAGCGGGTCTGAGAAACTGTGGGCAAAGAGCAGATGGCTGCTAATGGTGGAGCTGATGTGAGGCCAAAGGGCAGGACAGATCCATGTCCAAGTATCCCAGGGTGGGGCCCGGGAAGAGGCTGTAAGGGCTTTTCCCTCCAGTGTCTACCAGAGAGGAAGCCCAGAGAGCTGGCAGAGGGCTTGGCTCTGCCCAAGAGAGCTGCCTCTGAGTTGGGGAGGAGAGGGAGCTCAGGGCAAGGCTGAGGACTGAGGCCAGACATGGCCCAATGCTGGGGACTGGAAGGTCTGTGGAAATCACCTTTAGGAGTCTCATGATGGAAAATGCTATCCACACCCAGAGAAAGAACTATGGAGTTTGAATGCAGATCGAAGCAGACTATCTGCTATTTTCTTCTCTTCTGTTTTGTTTCTTCTTTCTTATGGTTCCTCCCACTGGTTCTAGTTCTTCCTTACAACATGACTTATGTGAAAACATGTTTAATAGCAATGTATATGTATTGCGTGTCGTGTTGGGGAGAGAAGGGGAGAAAAATTTAAAACTCAAAAGCTTACGGGATTGTTGATAAATCAAAAAAAAATTAATAAAAAAATACAAAAAACCATGAAATAACCTTTGGGGTAGGTGTACTAAGTCACACACAATTCCTGCCTTGTCCTAAGTTCACAAAACCTCTACACCGTGTACCTGTGGCTGAGGTGAACCCTCCCTGGCCTTAATAGAGGTGGTCTCCCTCCTCAGCCACACCTCTCAAATGCCCAGCTGAGCTGTCTGTCACTTCCCACATGTGACGTGTCCTGAAGACACCCTCTACCTCTGGAAGGGCCCTGCCATTTCTTCTCCCTGTCCTTCTGCTGGGGCCCTTTTGGGCTGAATGTAAACACCCCCTCCCCCAGCCCCAGGGCAGGGACCATTTGGGGTGGGGATTTGCAAAGGAGGAAGGGGGTCCATGCAGCTGCCCCAGGGGCTAGGACAGCGCAGCCACACAACAAGCCCGTTTATAAATATCAAGAATCAACAGAAAGCACATTTCCAACTTACGGCTGCGTCCACGTTCGCGGGCGAGTCTCCATTGGGATCTGCCAGCATAGAAATGACGCTAATCATGATGGTTTCCACCGTGTGGATGGGGAGCCAGCGCTCTTCGGGCTTTTCATAGCCATATTTATCTTCCCCAGGTTCGTGAAGAATAGAAATGCACACATCACCATTTTTGTCAACTGAAAAAAACCCAAACATTGAAAACAGAGGTTGGTGGTGGTGGCCATCTCCTAGCGCTTTCCGCGGCAAGCCCAGAGAGGCGCTCCCCAGACACTGCCAGCAGGAGCTGCGGCCACAGGGACTCTGCCCCACCGCCCAACAGCCCCAGGGCCCCCCATCACTCTGAGGCGAGGTGTGTCTGGGCCACCTCCCTACCTCCAGGCCCAAGAGATGCACAAGGCAGGGAGAGATACAAAGGAAGGCAAGGACGGAAACAGCTACCAAGATATTTAAGAACGTTCACAGAGACCCTGCTTCAGAGGGGGCCAAGATGCCCCCATGGGTCTTCTGGCTTGCAGTGGACCAAAACAGGACCTAGGGAGACAAAGAGGAGAGGAAAGGAGGGAGGGAGAAGGGAGAGGGGAAGGAAAGAAGGAAGAGAGGGGAGAGGGAGGTGAGAGGGAAGGGAGAGCTGCTCCAAACCAGCACCTCCTGGTGTGTGCGCGCCTGTGCGTGGGATGAGTCGCCTCGTCCCACAGGCCTCTGGTTAAGCTTCAGACTCTGTGATCGTATTTTGAGGTTTTCTTGGCAGAGACACTGGAGTGGTTGGCTGCTTCCTTCTCGAGCTCATTTTACGGATGAGAACGCTGAGGCAAACGGCGTGAAGGGACGTGCCCAGGGTGACCCAGCTAGGAAGTGGCCAAGATGAGTCTTCTGACTCCAGACCCAAGGCTCTAGCCACTGCGTCACCCATCAGAGCCTAAATTCGAATGCAGGGCCGTTGCGTATATCTCCAGGCTGCTCATGCCTCAGTGCCCTGACCTAATGAGCCTTCCTGCCTTCCTCCCTCTGCTCTCAAGGAATGGCTTTTTCAAAAGAAAACAGTGAAAAGTGAAAAGAGACCAAGACAAAGCTGGTCGCGCTCCAGGGATGCAGCTACTCCATCTCATTCGCTTTACAGGGCAAACGTGCCCAGACGCCAGGCTGAATGCCCACTACCCACAGAGTAAAGCCCACCCGCGGGTCCCGTCTCTCTGCAGCGAGCAGGTTGACGTCCTGTTCTTTCCTTTTAACGCCTCTCGGTTTAAATGCGGGCCCGCACCTCACCCTCCACGCAGATGCCTCCTCGTCTGTGTCTCCCAGCCCCGAGCTGTGTTCTCAGTCTGATTCTCTGTCCCCAGATGCTTCAGGGGCAGAAACAGCCTGGGCCTCCACACACTCATCCCCCGACTCGACCCTGATGGGTCCGACCCTCCCATGCCCCTCCTGCCCTCAGCCTCACCCACCTGGGCTGTTCAGGCTGTCAGTCCCAGGTCCTGGTGATGTCTGGACCATTCTCAGCACCCACTTCCTGCCCTCCATGGGCCTGGGCCCTAGCTGAGCCTCCCCTGGCCGTCCTCTCCAGCAGCTTCCCCAGCTATCCCCCACGCGCCACCAGAACAGCCTTTCCCGGGCTCTATGCTCTCGTGTCTGTGACTGCGGCCAGGCCTGTGGGCCGTGCTCTAATGCCTGCTGCCCCATACCGTGGCACTGACCGGGAGAGCCACGCCTTTCCCCCTCTGCCAAACAGGTGCACTCTGAGGCCCCAGGGCTGTCTGAGAGAGAGCTTCCCGTCTGATGTGGCTGGGAGTTAACAGCAGATCTCTAGGTCTATCCCACGCAGATCAAGGCAGCGGGCCGCCAGGCCTGACCACAAACGACGGGGGCCACGAAGACTCCCTGGGCCTTCACCCATTGCAGGAAGAGGGGCAGCCCTGGCTCGGCTCCTGGGGGTCCTCGTTCCCCTTCCCCGCCTGGGTCATGATCGGGACACCTCCTCTCAGATACTCAGAAGGGCAGAAGAAGTCCCAGAGGCCACAGTCGTCTCCACAGGGACAGTTCAGAACAGCTTCGTTTGGGGATGCCCCAAGCCCGGCACGGGGGAGGCATCAAAGGCCGTCCGGGGCCCACCCTGCTGCAGCGCCAGGGGCGTACGTCCTCCTAGAACGTCGGCCCCGGACCTCATTCTCTGTACCGGCATCCCTACAGTGAACACACGTTCCTGGCACACCCCAGGTGCTTAATAAGGCCGTGATGCTGGGACACCACCACATCAAGTCACCAACCAAGAAATAAGCTTATATTAAATGCGTACGGCACGGTGACTCACAAGGTCCCGGAAACAACAAGGGCAGGGCAAAGACACACAGTGTACAGGTGAAGTAAATAAATGCAAATGAGCTGGGAGGGTAGGGAATGAGAGGGGACGGCCAGCCTGGACAAAGGCGTGGAGGCAGGAGATGAAACGTCGCTGTGGGCCACAGAGGGAGAGGTGAGCCAGCCTGTGAGCCAAGGATGGTGATGGCAGCCTCACCAGGGAAGGAATGAGACAGTCAGCCCTACGCTTGGCGCCTCCAGACAGCAGGGCAATGAACGCTCCTGAGCCAGCAGCATCTGCGGCACTGATACTGAGGGGGTGCAAGAATTAAGTACATCGAAGGCCAGCGTGGCTCTTCCGGGAGCCCCGGCTTCCCTGACCTTGGTCAACACTTGCTTGGCCCACAGGTCACTGAAAGCACACTTTCCTTCTATTTGCTTTTTTTTTTTTTTTTTGCTTTTTGGTGAGGCGATCGGAGTTAAGTGACTTGCCCAGGGTCACACAGCTAGTAAGTGTTAAATGTCTGAGGCTGGATTTGAACTCAGGTCCTCCTGACTCCAAGGCCAGAGCTCTATCTTTTTACTTTTTAAAGCAATCATGACTCCCGTCAAAGGAGGGGGCTCATCAGCCCAGATGTCTGCACAAGCCAGGTGCAGCCAAGTCAAGGTGATTCAAAGAAGCTGTGGCCTGCACTCTGGCTTCCTTCCTGATTCTATGACCAAGGCACTTCCCACAGTTCCAAAGCTTGCAACGGTAAAAACAAAACCGGAAACTCACCATTTGGGTGCCATATCTCTGTGATGAACTTCATTTTTGGTGGTCTGAGGGGGTAGTCTTTTGGGAAAGTGAGATGAGCTTTGAAAACACCCCCTTCGCTGCAAAGGCAAAAAGAACATCTTATAAGAAACCTGCACAAAATAAAAACCTCATTTCCCCACGCTGGCTGTGACTTTGGCTGGTGGCAGACACTTGACACACACTCACCAAGGCCAGGATCAAAGGATGGTGAAGTTCTGGGGTCTGCCTGGAGGCGCCTGGGCTGAGCATCTGGCCCAGTGGCTACGGAACTTCAGGACTCCCTGCCTCTCCCGCCCCTTCTCCCTCTGACTTTTTGCTCCTACTCCCCGCTCCATGTGGTTTTTGGACGTCCAGCCCACACCCCGCCGTGCCATGCTGTGCCGGGAGAGAAGCTCCTGGTGCTTTTTGGATCCAGAGGCTAGAGAACATTTCTCAGTTTGTTAGCATTTTAAACTCTGCTTTTTCTCTTCCTGGGTGTGCGCATTTCACTGTTCCTCTCCCAATTTTTTGCTCGATGATTTGTAGAGAGGGGGTGGAAGAACACCCCTGCCTTCTCCAGGAAGGTGCCCCCCCACCCTCCCAGCTGCTCAGAATCCAACGTCTCCAATCGGAGGGAACCATGGCTGGAGGCTTCATGATGTTGAATCTGCCTGCTGAAAGGTTTGGAAGTTTAATTTGTAGACAGGAGGCCAAAGTTTCCCTGGCTTTTCAAAAGGGGCAGGGGGGTAAGGGAAAGTCAGGGGCTTGGGGAGCGCGCTCTGGGCACTCCACTTAGAGTCATTCAACAGGCACAGATTAGGTGGAGGGAAGACACAGAGAGGAAAGCTACCCCAGAGAAGAGGCCAAGCCACTGGCCAGAGTGGCCCACAGACTCCCAGGCCTGGGAAGTATGCCCACACCAGGGCAAGAAAAATCTCTCAAACTGCCAGCCTTTACTGGAAGGAGCCCACCCCACCATCCATTGTGCCTACCCCTGCTTCCTGACCCTCTGCCTAAAGCTCTTGGGGAACAAGGGTCACCTCCACCCTTCAAGGGATCCTACCAGCCTGCACAACGCCCATCATCTCTCCCCAAGGATGCCAAACACCCCCAGTCTCTTGGACTGCCCTGCCCCTGTCCTCCAATCCCCATCTGTCAGAACAGCACCCTCTCCCCTAGACCAGAGACCGACCTTCCCTCCCTGGGGGGAGGTGAGCCTCTCGGCTCTGGAATCCTACTTTGGGGCATGGCCCTTGGTCCATGTTCAAACACCCTCCCTGGGCAGCCCACTCTCTGCCCTGTCCTATCTATGAGCTCCTCCTCCCCACGGGGCTCTGGCCAGCTAACCCGCCTACCCCCTTGCGGGACACTGGCAGTGTCCGCCAGACAGTTCTACTTACAGCTCAGCCAGTGGGCAGCTTTCCTGAGTCTGACCTCCATCAGAGCTGCTAGGTCATCCCCAGAAAGGAGGCTGCATGTGTGCCTAGCTCTGGGGGAGGCGCCCCTGGCTGGCCCATCAGGGGCTCCTTCTTTGGAAGGCTCTCTCTCCTCTCCTCAGGAAATGCCCACCTGTAAGACTCAACTCAGGTCCTAGAAGGCTCGGCTGACCCCCTTCCCCCCTCCCCAAGCCTGGCTGCTCAATGTCACTCTCCCCACCCCCCTCCTCTCTCCTTCAGTCTCCCCAAACAGAATACAACAAGCCCTTTGACAGGGCAGGGCCCGTTGTTTCTTTCTGCTTGTACCTCCGCTAACTAATGAACGCTCAGCACAAGTGCTGGGTGCAGGGGGCTCGGGGCCAGTCCTGGGCCGAGCCCCCAAGGCACTTGCACACGCTGTCATTCACAATTGCGTGTCCACGAGTCACAAGCAAAGGCGAGCCATGGCATCCTGTCCCCCCACACCTCTTTCATCCAGGGCCCGCTGAGTGCCGGGCACTTTATGGATATGATCTCATTTAATCCTCACACCCTGGGAGGGAGGTGCCGTCAGCCTCCCCGTTTTACAGATGAGGAAACTGAAGCAGACATCAGTTAGGATGGGACCTGCGCAGGGTGCCACAGCTAGGAAATGTCTGAGCCTGGACTGGCCCTCGGGTCCTCCTTTCTGACTCCAGCCTGGAGCCGCAGGCACCACTGCCACTTTGCAGGGGAGGCCTTTCCAGCCTCTCTGCCCGGCTGCAGGAGTCCCCTCCCTTTCGTCTACGGGCTCCTAGGGTTCCTTCCCACTGGGCGGGCATCCATCATTTCAAGTCAAGAGCTGTCCCTGGGGCCGCAGAACCTTTTGGTCTGTTCAAGTTTGTCTGGGTGATGACGGCATGTTGGGGCTATCCTAGGACCATCCAGACTGATTCCTCTCGAAGGAGAGAGAGCAAGGAATCTGCCTCGGGCCCCTCCTAGATCGTGGTGCTGGGGCATGTGCAAGGGTGTGCCCAGCCCTGCAAAGGATGGCTAGGGAAGTGGGGAGCCAGAGGATCTGAAGCGCATGGGAGAAAGATGCGCAACGCCCAGTGGGTCCTCTGATGGGGCGTGCCCGGAAGACCACGGCCAAGGAAAGAGGCACTCAGTTAAATATGGGTCCTGACGGCTGTGGGGAGGTGGTCTTGGGAAGTGGGAACAACACCCCATCAGGAAGCTGTAAAACGAGACGTTCTGACTTCCACCCCTAAGGAAGGCTTCTAACACCCGCTACCCCACGGGGTGACCCTCCATTACAGCTCAAGCTCCTGGGCCCTGGCACATGACAAAGGCAGAAGTTCTACATCTGGCTCCTCCCGCCAGGTCACCTTAGTGCACCCCCTCCTGGTCCACATCCTTGCCTTCGCTGCCCATGATGGACACCCAATCTGGCCTCTCAATTGTCTCTGCAAGCTGTTTTCCATGAAGGCTTCAGAGACCCCAGGCTATCCCTTCTCCTGACAGCCTCGAAAAAAGTGCTACTTGCGTCATTACATTCATCATGACTGTCTTTCCAAGTAAGATTATGCTTTAAAAATAACGGACCCCCCTCAACCTTTTCAGGTGAGTGTTTTAACCCCAAGGGTTCATGCAGCTTCCCTCTTGTAGAAGCTCTCTGGGCAGGACCAAGGCCCTTCCTCTGGCTCTCAGGCTAGGAATGCTGTGCAGAAGGCTGAAGCTGCTCAGAGCTTCCAAGCCAAGACTGCCAAGTTCCTGTGTGGTATTTTGCACACACAAAGAAAACTCTGAGCGCACTTCTGGAGTAAGAAGAAAGCAGCAAACACAGGTTTCAAGACTGGTCCAGAGGCCACTCCCCCTTTTCCCCATCATGAGGCAGGTGCCTGGCTCAACAGTGCAGGGCGGCGGGAGCCCAACACCACTCAACCCATGTGGCGGGTTCTTAGAGCCACTGAAGCGCCGTAGGGCAAGAGCACTGAGAGTCTGGCTGGCTCTCCTCTGTCTCTCTCCCTCCATCCCTCATTTGTGCCTGAGTTAAGATTGCAAGCTCAGTTTTCCTGCTAATCCCAGTCCTATGCTTGTGTCAAGGAGATGCAAGTGGATGCTGGGGAGTTTGCTCTGGCACTGTCGTGACACTGACCAGCCACGCGGATCGACACCGCCCATGAGCTTTCCACAGCAACGCCACCACATCCCCGCCTTGTCACCTTTGACAGTTTCTTCCCTCGTGGGAGCTCCCGGAGCGCAGGGACAGTCAGTTTCCCCTCTGTATCCTCTGCACCGTTTAGCAGTGCCCAATGCCATCTTCCTTCTACAGTCGAGGACACGGAAGCTGATGGAGCTAAAGTAACTTCTGCAGGCAGCGTCAGAGGGAGCACTTGAACCCCGCTCTTCCTGACTCCAGCACATTTCCTTGCTCACACAGCACCAGGATGGGAGTCCAGATCTGATTCCTTGGGCTCACAGACAGCCACCCGCTAATACACACACACACACACACACACACACACACACACACACACACACACACACACACGGTGCCTGTGCGTGTGCTCTGCACGTGGGTGTGGCCAAAGGCAGCAAAAACAACTGTTATGGGCAGGCGGAGGCAGGAGGGAGACCCAAAAGAGGAAGCCCTCGGCGAGAGCGCCATCAGCTGCCAGCATGGCAGCAGTTTTCAAAAGAAATACAAATGATCAATAACCTGAAAATACCCTCACCAACATAAAGCCTGAGGGTGACCTCATCCCCGCCAAGCCAGCAAAGAGGGGCCAAAGGACGGGCCATCACCTTCTGTGCCTTGGACCCCCTCAGAGGTCTTGAAAAGTGCCGATGATTACAAACGTCTAATGATGCTGAAACACAATCTGCAGAATGGGCTCTTGCCAAGTTCCTGGCACTCACACGCTGAAAAGTGGGGGAACTCTTCAGAGAGGCACCGTCGGAGAGGTACAGCAATTGGATGGTGGGCTTATCCCTTACAGAAAAATGACCCACCCCCGGGCTAACTCGGAGGAGACTGTGGCCAGCAAGAACAGATTCCCAAGTACAGAAATGGTAGCAGAAATGTTACTGATGCTAGCAAAGTGTGTGGCCAAGAACAAGGGAATGCTGAAAAAATTCTGGTAGAAGAATGTCACGGGCGGGTTAGAACTGCACTCTAAGGAATGATGAAAACAAACAGGCAGCTCTGGGCAGGACACTGCATCTGGAGTGAGAGACCCTAGCTCTGCCGTGTAATCTCATCCCCTCTGGCCTCAGTTTCCTTATCTGCCTGGAAGGTCCCTCCCAGTTCTGGAGCACTGTGAAACCAGAAGAACACACCCAGAGACCAGTGTCCGGGCATGGACCCTGGGACATCCCGCAAAGGCCACGGACACTGCTCCTGTCCAGCCTGCTGACATGTGGGTTAACCAGTGCCCCGTTCTGTCCTTGGGCCCCAAGGGACACTAAAAACATTCCCATTCCAGCCACAGGCCCAGTCGCTCGAAACCAGACTGCAAGTTCACTGCTGAAAACCTGGGTTCAGATAACATCACAGATGGGCTACTGGGAAACAGCCTCTGTGCCAGAGGATGACAAAGGGCCAAATAAGGACTGCCCAGTGCCCTGCGGGCTGTCAGAGCCAGCAGCGCCCTCTGGTGGCCCCAGGAAGGACCCCAGCTCACCAATGTCACCACTACCACCATCCTCATCCAAGAAGAAAGGAAGGCAGGCACCTACCTCAAGGAGCTGACATTCTAGTGGGGGAGAGGACCCGAAAAGGAAGCTAAGAGGGGCGGGGGGACAAAGCTACCCCGGAGGGAAGAAGAATGAGCTACCACCCCGATGGCAAGCCCACCAGGCCCCTCTTCATGAAGGTCTTTCGGTGGTCTCTGCCCCCAAGCTTCCCTCGGACCCCTCAGGGAACTCGAGGCACACTGCCAGCTCAGAACACCAGATCTTCTGCAGCTGCTCCTCAAAACCTCCCCACAGTGTTGGGTGGGCCTCAGCCTGGGGCATAGGATTGAAAGCTGTGCCAAGCTGCCTGAGCGCTGGCCCACTGCAGAAAGAGTGACCCATAAATCTGGCACCATGGCAGACCCCAGAGAGCGAGCCCAGCTGCTCACTCCCTCCTACTGATGGTGGCTTTTTGTACACAGAAGGGGGAAGCCGGGGGCATCCTCCCTGGTCTCAGGAAGCCTAGATGGAGTCCTGACTCTGACGATGAGAGAGGTACAGCCTTGGGCAAAAGGCATTCCACTCCTGAGGCTGGGCTTCTTCAAATTCTCGGGGACACCCCCTTCACCTTGGCGGAGAGATCAATCCACAAGGACCCTGTGCTGAGCAATGTAGGTACGAGACAACAACCCAACCGTTCCCGCTCTAAGGGGGAGACAACAGTGTAGCTAGGAAAACACATATGGAATCCACCCTAAGTGAAGGCGCACAAGGCAGCTGTAGAAGTCCTTGGGAGCAGCTGGAGTGGAGTCTTCCATGTGGCGGGGCAGCCAGCACCAAGGCCCGTCCTTGGTCAGAGGTGAGGAGGGCCAGAACTCATGCGGTGGGTGAGGGGTGGCCTGGGGCTCTAGCCATGTTCATCTCAACAGACGCATACCCACGGCTACTCTGTCACACCATCTAACACAAGGCACTCTGAAAACTCGGTCCACATCCAGCTTTGCTTCCTCCAGAGGTCCCAGGCAATGGAGGGCCAAGTCAGCCTCTCACCATGGCTGGGATGCGATTCCGCTGTCAAAGAGGGAGGGGGGTGGTCTCCTTGCCTCCTCTGGATTTAGAATGGCCACAGCTTGCGCACTCAGTGTCACATAAAGGATCACAACAGGTAAATGTGGCTCAAGAGGCAGGATTTCACATTCAAGGTCACTGCTAGAATTAATTTATTTGCTACATCACAAGATTCCTGATCGTCCCATGCAGGAAAGGACACTTTCTTTGCAATTAAAAAGAAAAATATCAACCCACATCTTAAGGTCAAACCTACATTTTAACTAAGTAAATTATTCTATAATAGGTTTTTTAAGTAGCTCGGAAAAATGGGTGACTGTAAAAAAAATCACTGGTTTTCTTCAACCAAACAGTCTCCAAGAAACCTTCTTCTTTAGAAATTGCCTTTTTCTATAAAATATTTCTGGTAAACTAAGCAAATATTTCATCTCCCTAATCAACACTAAAATAATACCAGATTATATCCATCAGTCAAAGGGTTTTTGTGTGAATACAGGGTATGGAGATTAGCGAGTCTTAACAAATGGGGCAAGTCAACAGTGTAGGTTTTGAAGCTTTCCAAATCCTAAGCCCTTTGTCCTGCGACTGTTAGGATTCTCAAGCCCCAAGCAGCTCTACGGACAGCTCTGCTGCCAGGCGATACTCACTACAGCGTGTCTGGGGGGCCGATGATGAGGACTTCCCATCTGTACAGATCGTTGTCATCTATTAAGCCAGCTGAAAATCCTTCGACCGGATTCTTGTTGAGCTCTGCAAACACAAGAAAGCTACGGTAAACCCCAAGCAGAGAACAGCGTGTTAACATACAGCACACACACATGCTGTGCGCAGCCAGCCCGAGGGGGGAACCCCTCCACGCTCTCCCACCCTGGAAGACCGGAGCCAAGGTCAGTGAGAGCCCGGACCCGGGGGCTCAAACAGCAGACAAAACAAGGACCTGGTTGCTAACAGACAGTGGGGATTGAATCAGATTCAATCTTTGGGTGAAAGCACAGGTCTGAATTTCTCAGGAATGTCTGGCCTCTTTGACTGAGTGCTGAGGTGTGAAACAGAGAGAAAGTGCTATGAGTGCGGAAGAGGGATGAGTGGGAATTCTGAAGCACCGGGACTGGACACACTGGGAGCACCTCGGACACTGTTATTACAGGACCATTCTCGTGTTCTCATTTCTTCCTTCCTGGGCTAAGCCCATTCCCCCAGGATCATAGATTGACAGCGGGAAGGGAGGTCAGAAGCCATTTCATCCAACTGTCCATTTTACAGATGACAACACTGGGGTGCGGGGGAGGCTAAGGGATACCTTTTCTCTTTCTATCACAGTGGGTCCCCCAGACTGTCCCAGCCAAGTGATGGGGGACTGCGTCTGTCAATGAAGGAGCCAGTCTTGGGCCCCCGGGGTCCCCAGCCTGTCTCTGCCCGGCTAAAGACAGGATGTATTTTTAGCTGCCTGTGATCACTGGATCCAAGAGGCTTGACCCAGATGAAAACACAATTTTAGGTCACTGAATTGTGTATTTTTAAATTTGGTCATGATTTTAGTGCCCATTGTAAATCTATTCTACCAAAAGTCAGAGCAGACCAAAAATCAATGGTTTCTTCTGAAACCAGTTTTTAAAGCTAGTGCAGAAATGACTTTCGCCTTCACATGCCTCAGGAGCAGCAGGCCAGCTCTTCTCTTTGTCAAGCTGAGTGTGTGAGCGCGGTTATTCTGACCTAAGCAAGGATTCATCCGAATGACCTGCTCTCTAATGCAAGTGGGCGCTCGTGTGGAGGAGTGCGTGGCTGCGCGCCACCCCCCAGTCCCCCGCCCTGGGGACCAGGCTCGGAGAGGCCCGCAAAGTGGGACTACTCCAACAGCAGAAGTTTGGGGATTTCAGCTTTGTGGTTCGAGGTCGCCCAGACACTTCCCACAGAGCCCTACTGGGGTCCCTCTCAGGGGGCTGCAGATCTGCAAAAAGCCTCGGCTGCTTTCTGAGGCTCAGCCCACATTCAGAGAGGGTCATCATTTGGAAGCTGGCCACCTGGTGGCGACAGCAGTGTTTGTCCCGCGTGCATCACGAAGGTGATGCCACGGCTGCAGATGAAGTAGATGTAAGTGAGGGAGGGCTGTGCCAAGTCAGCCACTTCACTCCCTCCCCCAGAGCCATCCAGGCCAGATATGGATCAGGACGACTGAAGATGGATCCCCCCTACCCTGAGGGGACGAAGGAGTCAAGAAGAACTCCCCAATAAAGGGGGTTAAGAATTCTGGCTCCAGAAGGCAAAGGGAACCTGCATGGCAGCCCAGTAACCACAGGACACAGGAGGGTGAAGGGAAATTGGCGGAAAGAACGCCAAAGAAACGCGATCGATAGAGGAGATGGCACACAAGAGCCTCACAAGGTGCAGCGGTCTTGAGGAAGCCCCCCAAGACACTCTGTGGGAAACCAAGAGTCACATCGGAAAGGCAAGCACGGAGGGGCTGCAATCCCTATCACCGATGGTCCTAGGCCCACTGGAAAGTATCTGGACTACAGGAATAGGAGAAATGATGGGAATCTCCAAATAGATCCCTCAACCATCCTACTGAACTGGAGATGGTTCATCTCCAAAGCACCTGGTACTTTAACAAATCATTCTGTTTTCTAATGTAACTTAAAAAGCAACCTGAAAAAATATTAACAAATTACAGCTTTAAATGAAAAGCTAAGTAGAAAAATGTACCGACCTACGTGTCCTTTTGCAATAATGTTGAAGAAAGTATTTGGATTTAAATCTATCAGTAAAAAAACATCTCAAACTCCTGGTATTGCACCCAATGTGCACCTAGTTCTTTTACGGCAAAAAATTCCACTGTTGGACGCTGACCCACTCCCAACACGTCCGCTTGTTTCCTAGTCATCTCTGCTCTCTGACCTGGCCTCTTCCCCTTCCTCAGCATTCCCTGCGGGGCACCCATCCATTGCCCACACCCTGCTCTGAGCAGATCAGGGCCTACCTCCTTCACAACCTTCCCCCGTTGCCCTCCCTACCTCATCCCCCATAATTACTCTCATCTCAATAAGCATCTCCGAAAATGCATTTATTGAACATGTAAGCTCCCAGAGCAAGTACTGTACCATTCTTTGTATCCTAAAGAACAATGCCTGGCATATAGCAGTCAAGTAATAGAGGTTTGTTGACTGACTGAATGATTGATCCTGTATGCCAAGCACTGTCCTAAGGACACAACTACAGAGAGCAAAGCAATGCCTGCCCTGCAGGAGCTTACATTCTAAAAGTGGAAGATAACCACTAAACTTCTTGGAGAAATTATCAACTCTGTCCATCACTGCTAAATCAGAACAAATGTGCTTGTCAACACTTTGTAAAAGGATTTGTGTTTCCACCACTTTAAGGAAGAAATTGCACTTTCAAATGTCAATAACCTAATTGTCAAATCCAAAGACTTTAAAATAAAATTTAAAACATAAAATCTTCATCTTTCTTGAATTTCCCTGTGCTGAAAGGAAGGAAGGAAAGGAGGGAGGGAGGAAGGAAGGAAGGAAGGAAGGAAAAGGGAGGGAGGAAAGAAGGAAAAGAGGGAGGAATTAAGCAGTTATGACATGCCAGACACTGCTAACTCTACTTCAAGTGGAGACAGATGCTGTGAAGACCAAATGTAAGAATAATTACAAATATTCTCTCATTAGATCTTCACAATAGCCCTGAAAGATAGGTGCTGTTTTTATCCCCATTTTATGGTGGGAGAAACTAAGGCTGGATTTGAACTCAAGTCCCCCTGCCTCTCTGCCCATTCTGCCCTTAGATGCTTCCACCGGATGATACTTGGGCTGCACCCACCAGGCTCAACTCTTCTTTCCAGGATTATTCAACTGGCTTCACTTGGCCTTCTGCCCAGACTGCTCCCCTCCGGCTCCTCCAACAACTCCCCCCACAGTCTGTTTCTTTCTCAAGCCCGGCTTGGAAATCCCACATCATCAGCAGCAACTCTCCCGCTCTCTCACCATCCCCACCCAACTTCAGCTCTCCTCTTGCTACATCCCCTTTCTCTCAGGTTGTGGACACCCCCACTCATGGGCAAGGCACCCTGAAAGTGCCCTCCCCAAACTTAGCCAGGACCCTTTTCTTCCCCTCCCATCCCCACCGACCTCTGTGCAGCATCTGACCCCGGGAACCACATTCTCTCCACTCTCGGTGGTCCCTCCATGGTCCCCCCTCCTCCAGGTCCCGGGAGACGGCTCACCTTCTGGGCATAGCCCTGGGCCAGTCCACTCTGGGTCACTCTCTCTCACCCCGCCCCCACCAGTCTATCCCCATCCCCATCTCTTACCTCCCAAGGCCTCTTCTGCTCACTTCCTGCTCTAGCACAGATCCAGAGCTGAAGGCACCTTAGATCCTACCACCTCAAACCTGACCCAGTAACTCCAAGGGCTCCTTAGTGCTTCTAAGGGAAGGTACATTGTTTCAAGAGAAGTATTGTTTCAACTGGGCTACTTGAGGGTGCCACAGTGCATAGACTCATCTTCCCGAGTTCAAATGTGGTCTCAGACACTCACTAGCTGTGTGACCCTGAGCAAGTCACTTCACTCTGACAGAAAAGAGAGCCAACGGGTGGGCAGGCAGGGCAAACGTCTCTTCTCTTGGTGCCAAAGGTCTCAAGCCAAGCCCCAGGTCTGGCAGCACCAGCAGGAGCAGTGATCTCTTCTGCTTTTGCTTAGAGGGTTGGGGGGGGGGCATGGAGTGCCAAGCCAAGAGACAGGAGGAGAGACAGTGCACGTAGTACTGTCTAGGTGCTTTTTGGGAATGCAGAATTCTTTAAAGTTGAATCCGCATAATGTGAATTTATGTGAAGCAAGAACTGTCTGTCGTAAGATAAGCTCCAAACAGGTGCATGACTTAGACATCGTGAGCAAATCAGAGGTGCTTAGAAATTACCTGTCCAGTCTCTAGCTATGGCATGATAAAACAAGGGGGTAGAGAGGTTCACAGGAGGTAGAATGGACAATTTTAACGAGACACAAAATTAAAAAGGTCTTGTACAAACAAAACCAATGCATCTAAGATTAGGTGAGAAGCAGAAAACGGGGGGAAAGGCTTCACAGCAGGTTCCTCTGATAAAGACCTCATTTCTCAGACATAAAGAGAACTGGGTCAAATTTACAAGAACCATTCCCCAAATAATAAATGATCAAAGTATATGAACTGGCAGTTTTCAGAGGATGAAATTCAAGCTTTTAATAGCCATATGAAAAAGTGTTCTAATCACTAACAATTAAGAGTGTAACTAAGGGTGTACCCCCATACACCTATGAGATTGGCTAAAATGACAGAAAAGAAAAATGACAAATGCTGGAGGGGATGTGAGAAAACAAGGACATTAATGGCAGCCATGGTGGAGCGCCATTTGGAACTATGACCAAAAAGCTAAATGAACTGTGCACACCCTTTGACTGACGACATCATTATCAGGTCTACACTCCAAAGAGCTCAGAGAAAGAGAAGGATCTGTATGAACAATAATATTTTGAGGGACAGCAACGAACTGGAAAGCGAGGGGATGCCCATGGACTAGAGAAGGTCTGCAACAAGGCAGGCATATGAATATGGTGGGTTGCTACTGGGCTGTGGACAATTTACATAACAACAATGATGCACAGACAATCGGCAACACACAGAAGGAACCAGCAGCCCACCCTGGCATGCCTCTCTACATCTGCCATGGGATCTGATTGGGGGAAGAAGAAGGGGAGGGAGGGGGAGAACACAAA